TTTGTCCTAATAAATCTCACAATTTGCAAGTAAGACAGTGTGCCGGATTTTTCTCCATGTTCTTGGGCTGCTCCCTCTCCTCCAACACACCCATCTCTACTAACTGATGTGTGAAGTTCTCATTCTTTTATATTGTTTTTTAGTTCAAAATTCCAAAGAACGAATTGTACATGGACCGCTACATAATCCTGTTTTTTTGTTTTGTTTTTTTCACTATATTGTCTGTAAATCAAAATACAAACATTAATAACAAACCAATCAGTCGACTTCTATGTCCAAAGTTGCTCCTGCTCACCGTCAGTAACAGATTTGATTGACAGTACTATAGGGTCCGGTCAAGCAGAAGTAAACAACAAGGCCAAAAATTCAAGTGAATGCATCTGATATAAAAATGTATTGAACAGATACATATGTACTCTAGTTTATCAAACTGTTGACCTTTTTTCTGTACCATTTTTGGTTCTAAAGTTCCATATGTTTTAAACAGACCATGTATGAAACATGGAACAAAAATTATTTCCCAAATTTCAAAGACCTGCAAATCATGTCAAATAAATGGATGTATTTCATCATATCTTGTGTTATTCCATCTTTGAACTGTTGATGAAAGGTACATGATTTTTTTTTTTAAATGTATTTAAAATGATAAAAATTTGCTTGGAAGGACTGACATATTTTATAGAAATAGTTTCTTTTCATTTTGAAGTAATATTAAAGTTTTCGGAAGAAAAAAGCGACAAATGATGTAAAATCCTGCACCTTCTACTTGTTTGCACAATTTTCCCTCCGTTACTTTTCCCTCCGTTACCATGACCTTTCTTAATAAAAAATCTCATGAGTCAAAAAGTAAGAGGTTTTTCAACCTAATCTTGTACCATATGGTAGAAAACTATATGAAGCAAATATTCAAACCAGTTTGTTAAGGATATGGAAGTGAGAACCAAGAGTTATCACTGTTTGGATTTATTGCCCAAAAAGTGCTGCATATTTCATTCCCTCCTTACTGACATGAGTTTTTAAATTTTTTGTCAACAACTTGAAAGAATATCACAGGTTTAACTTGACCCTGTTGGAGTGTAACTCTTTCCTACATTCTGATACTTTACTTATTTCAATAGTCCCTCTAGTTTCTGAATAAGAGACATTTGAATGTCAAAAATCTGACCCTGTTCCCTCCGTTACCACTTGACCAGACCCTATGATACTCACATTTAGAATTTCAACCATGGATCTCTGCTCCAGTTTAGCTCCTACAACCACCAACCTTAGTGAGCTTCATTTGACTGGAGCTGAACACTGTGGTGACATCACACTTCCTTCCACAGGATATGATAACAACACAACACATTCGAATTCACGGTGATTAATCATGAGAGCCCAGTCCAAACGTGTCTTTATTCAGCTCTTTCTATGTAAACTATGTCCTTCCATCTATCCATCTATCTCTGTCAGTCTCTCTCTCCGTCACTCCCTCTTTTCTCTCTCTCTCCTCTGCACATCTGCTCCTCTCTCGCTCCCCTGTCTGCACCCGTCTGTCTGGGACACCGGTTTGATTTATTTTGATGAGAAAGAGAGAGAAGGAGAGAGAAGGAGAGGGGGATGAGGATAGAGGAGAGAAACAGAAGGAGGGAGAGAGGAGAAAGAGAGAAGAGAGAGAAGAAGGGAGGAAAAGGAGAGATGGAGGAGGGAGAGAGAGAAAAAGAGAGAGAAGAGAGGATGTAAAACACTTCATTAAAATTCATGTGTTTCTTCAAAGACCTGTGACAATAAGAACATCTGGTACAACAACAGACAGGTGGAACTAGACCAGGACTAAAACAGGTCTAAACCAGGTCTACAACAGGACTAAAACAGGATTCTAGACCAGGACGAGACCAGGACTAAACCGGGTCATGTCGTCCTGTAGTTGAGGCGTGTGGTCATTTGATGATTTGTTGAGGCTCTTAATGTGAACGAGTTTGTCTTTGGATCACAGCTTTACGGAGACATGGAGTGTGTACACATGCACATCAATAACCCGGTTATGATCGGGTTTTTTGAGTATCCCGGTTTCTTCATGGTGCATGTAAACGCAGTAACCCAGTTTCAGTATCCCGGTTATGGCAGTATCCGGTTATTAGAAACCGGGTTACTGTAGCTGGTTTATTCCGATAGTAACCGGGATACTGTGGCATGTATACGCAGTACCCCGGTTACTGCAACATAAAGTTGAGTGTGCATGCGTCCAAAAGACACTTTCCAGTCTTTTCACCACAACAGTAGTGACATAAATAAATTGACCAACATAAATAAAGTGACCACATGAGTAAAATGAGTGTAAAATAAAGAGCTGTGTTAAACCTGCACATGTACAATCTGCACTTGTATGACCTGCACTCGTGTCATTGCTGAAAAACTAAAACATGAACTATCTCCGATACTATATACACACAGAACAGACTCACCATCATTAGCACCTCTTCTGTCATAAAAGAACACACATAATCCACTGAGTCGTGTCATTTAGTCCAAAAGAAGCTGAACCACATCAGCGGCACAAGGAGCAGCTGTTTTTATCAGCGTGCGGTCTTAAGTTTCGTTTCTGTAAAACGTAAACAAATGTGATCAGAGCTGAATTATCTGATCAAACGGGCTGATGTGGCTCTACAGTGGTTATGGTTTATATGTTGTAAAGTTGAGTTTATTTATGCAGAAGATTTTAATGAAGAATCTGTTGGTTTGATCTGTGCAGTGGATTGTGGGAGATCTCATAGCTCCTTAGCTTCTTATGCTAAAGGAGCTCCTGGTTTATTAAATTGATTTAAGTGAATTTTTTGAGCTTGCACATTTGTAAGATTATGTTAAGAAACCGGGATACTCCAATTTGATTATGTTTAGGGGGATATGAGTGTCCCGGTTTCTCAGTGCGCATGTAAACGCAGTAATCCGAATACTGACAGAACCGGGATATGGAGAATAACCGGGATACTGATGTGCATGTATACACACTCAATCACAAAGAGAGGGGGAGGAGAGAGAAAAGAGAGAGAAAAACTGAGAGAAAAGAGGAGAGAGATGAGTGAGAAAACAAGGGGGAAAAGAAGAGGAATCCAAAAACATGCCTGAAGTTGTATTTAGCTCGATTCATTCTGTTTTATAAATCCGTTTAGTAAGTTAATTGCTTCAGAGCAGTCACCCGTCCAATTTTTCTAGGATTGTTGCGTCATAGGTAAAAACCATAGACTGTATATATATCTCTGGACATGGTTGCCAAATAAGAAATGAGCATAGGCGCTTCTGTCTTCATCTACTTCACTTTCTATTAAAATTCACCGTTCCTGTCTCTGTATCTCCCACTGTCAGGCTCCTCGTTTTGCTCTTAAAATGTTCATATTAATCCGCTCTACATGATCCTGTGGTTTTTATTTCACTTTTTTCTCTGTAAATCAAGATATGAACATCAAATCGGACACTTCTTAAGCCCCTAAATCGTTGCAGACGTGTTCAAAGAAAGTCAGAATCTGCTATATCTGCCCAGACATTGTGTAACTGTACATTGTCCTGTAAAATGCAAATCTGAAATGATCTCAGGAAGTGAGCGCGGCTATTGGAAATGTGTCTTTTCTAAAAGGAGAGACTTTTTTCAAGGCTCTATCTCATGAGATGCTGAAGAAAAAGTACTCAAGGACATGCACCATTACAGACATTAGCATTACAATTAAAGTTTGTTCTAATACTAATGGCATTTGACCAACAAGATCATTCTACAAGCTTTAAAGGCGTCAGACTGGGGTGAGCTGACAGCTGACTGACGGGTCGGGAGGCGGGTCTTAACTTTGATGGATGTTTTATTAGACAGGGTCAGATATGTGGGAGGAGGAGGGGCTTATGGGTTAGGTTCATTTGAAAGATGAATCGTTGGATTGGTTTATGTACAGGCTCTACTGCGGGACTCGTGTGTCAGGGGGCGTGTCCAGTGCTGTAGTGGGCGTGTCTTACCGTTGACAGATTTTTAGGGGGCGCGTCTTATATGTCAGTGGGCGTGTCTTATGTGTCAGTGGGCGTGTCTTATGTGTCAGTGGGCGTGCCTTACCTTTGACAGATTTTTTAGGGGGCGTGGCTTATACATTAGTGGGTGTGTCTTAACTTTCACAGACGTGTTAGGGGGCGTGTGTTATATTTCAGTGGGCGTGTCTTATGTGTCAGTGGGTGTGTCTTATTCATCAATGGGCGTGTCTCATGTGTCAGTGGGTGTGTTATTTGTCAGGGGGCATGTCTTTCCTTTGACAGGCATGTCAGGGGGCGTGTTTTATGTGTCAGTGGCCATGCGTTATGTGACAGTGGGCATGGCTTACTGTTGATAGTAAGGGGCGTGTCTTTTGTGTCAATGTGTGTGTCTTTTGTGTCAGTGGGTGTGTCTTATGCATCAGTGGGTGTGTCTTATTTGTCAGGGGGCGTGTCTTACCTTTGACAGGCATGTTAGGGGGCCTGTCTTATGTGTTAAGGGGAGTGTCTTACCTTTGACAGGTGAGTTAGGGGCGTGTCTTAGGTGTTAAAGGGAGTGTCTTATGTCTTGGTGGGCATGTCTTAACTTTGACAGTCTTACTGTTAAAAGACATGTCAGGGGGCATGTCTTATGAGGTAGTGGGTGTGTCTTATTTGTCAGGGGGCGTGTCTTACCTTTGACAGATGTGTTGGGGGCTGTGTTTATGTGTCAGAGGGTGTGTCTTTTGTGTTAGTAGGTATGTCTTCCCTTTGACAGGTGTATTTGGGCGTGTCTATGTGTCAGGGGACGTGTCTTACCTCTGACAGATGTGTGGGGGGGGCGGTCCCTTCATGCACAGGTTACAGGGTGGGTCTTGTGTGTTAGGGGCGTGTCTTTTGCTTTGGTGGGCATGTCTATCATAATCTGCACGTTTTACCTTTGTTTGGCGGGGGCGTGTGTTATTTGTCAGTGGGCGTGTCTTACCTTTGGCAGACATGTTAGGGGCGTGTCTTATGTGTCAGTGGGCGTGTCTTACCTTTGACAGACGTGTTGGGGGGCGGTCCTTCCATGCGCAGGTTCCAGGGCGGGTCTCCCTGGTTGGCGAAGTCCCTCATCTTCAGATAGCTGATGGTCAGACGGATGATGGACGCTTTGTCCAGCTGACTGGTGATGGCTCCAGGCAGAGGGAGCATTTTTGCCAACTCATAAAACTCAAAGTTCTCTTTCCCTCTGCGAGAGCGAGCTGCGTCTCTGGACTTCTCCTTCCTCAGAGCCTGAAGCCTGCAGAGACAAAAGACAAAGGAGGGGTTAGAAAGAGAAAGAGAAAGAGAGACGAGGAGGTGGGAGGTTCAGGGTTGCCACATTTTCAGAGAACAACATTCAACCAAACTCCCAAATAGCTCAAGATCTGGAGATGGATCCCACAGCTCCTGACAGGTTTAACCCAGACACTGAAGGAGGGTCAAATGTACAGAATACATTTCCCATAACAATAACACAAAACCAAGTCTTTGAAAAACAGACAAGTAAGATCCTTCATGACTCTATATGCCACATGAATGTTTTTACACTCCATGATTGTGTCTCATGTAGAGTGTTGCAGAAACACACGGTCACTTGCTGCTCACACAAAACTCAAACCAGTCGAATCACTTTTTTAAAAGCCGTAAAATATTGAACAAGAAACCACTCTTATTTCACCACTGCACTATTTTAGATAAGTGCAATTTGCTTGATTTTAAACATGGATGTTTTATATAAGTTTTATATGGACTTGCCCCCCTCCGTTACAGGATTTTATTAAAGTAAAGACTGTCAGTGGGAACTAGAGTCACAGCCCGAGGGAACTGTGAGCTCCACACAGACGCATTACATTTGGACAAAGTGTGTCTCAGTCAGAGGCACGAAGTTCTGGAACATTCTCCCATTATGAATAAAAGAGACTCCAACACTGGACACTTTCACATCACACTGTGACAGCGGCTAAAGGAAAACCAGACTTGTGGACACTTTTACTTTAGAACTGTCACTTGTTATTGTTGTTTTTTCTGTTAAATTTGTGGTGTCACCTGCTGAGGGACGACAGATGGAAATGAGCATTCATATCTACACTGCAGTGTTGAAGATATAAATAAATAAATACATTAATTAATTAATAAAATACATTTTTTTAAAGGGAAAATTGAACACAAATAACTATTTTAAAACATGAACTGCTGGTATTTCAGTGAATGAGTCAATGTTTTGAAACAGACCTGAACAAAGGCACAATCAATCACCTGTTTTATGATGAGAAACTGCTGCTGTCAAATTTGCAAGTGACTTTCCAAAAAGCAGGAGCTCAGATCTGCAGTAAAGAAGTGGACATGGCAACTGTGAGATTAAACAGAGGCAGGATCGCTGCTGTTTCCTCGGTTTACAGTGTTAATGAGGTGTGGGACATTCAAACCTGTGTTCAGTGTTTGATCGGTTCACTGATCTCTGACACAAAGACTCAGATCAGATTGTTGGTTGAGATGAGGCGCCCAGAGTGAGGCGCTCCAGAGTGAGGCGCTCCAGAGTGAGGCGCTGCAGGGTGAGCGCTGCAGAGAGTGAGGCGCTGAGGGTGAGGAGGCGCTCCAGAGTGAGGCGCCCCAGAGTGAGGCGCCCCAGAGTGAGGCACCCCAGAGTGAGGCGCTCCAGAGTGAGGCGCTCCAGAGTGAGGCGCTCCAGAGTGAGGCGCCCCAGAGTGAGGCGCCCCAGAGTGAGGCGCTCCAGAGTGAGGCGCTCCAGAGTGAGGCGCTCCAGAGTGTGAGGCGCTCCAGAGTGAGGCGCTCCAGAGTGAGGCGCTCCAGAGTGAGGCGCCCCAGAGTGAGGCGCCCCAGAGTGAGGCGCTCCAGAGTGAGGCGCCCAGAGTGAGGCGCTCCAGAGTGAGGCGCTCCAGAGTGAGGCGCTCCAGAGTGAGGCGCCCCAGTGTGAGGCGCTCCAGAGTGAGGCGCCCCAGAGTGAGGCGCCCCAGAGTGAGGCGCCCCAGAGTGAGGCGCCCCAGAGTGAGGCGCCCCAGAGTGAGGCGCCCCAGAGTGAGGCGCCCCAGTGTGAGGCGCTCCAGAGTGAGGCGCCCCAGAGTGAGGCGCTCCAGAGTGAGGCGCCCCAGAGTGAGGCGCTCCAGTGTGAGGCGCTCCAGAGTGAGGCGCTCCAGGGTGAGGCGCCCCAGAGTGAGGCGCTCTACTCTGTGTGGTTTGATGTCACACTGGAGACAGGAGAGTGAGTGTGGCGAAGAGGGAGAGACATTCAGCAAAACTGTCCAGACCAGAATCAGCCCAACAACACAGAACTCTGCAGGTGTGCCTTCCTCTCTCTCTCTCTCTCTCTCTCTCTCTCTCTCTCTCTCCTCTCTCTAACCCTCCCCTCTCTTCATTTTCCGTCCTCTCTTCCTCCCCACTCCCCTCTCTTTCTTCACTCTATCCTCCCTCGTCTCTTCCTCTTTTCTCATCTCTCTTCTTCTCTGCCTCTCCCTCTTCTCTCACTCACACGCTCCTCTCTCTTCTTCTCTCTCTCACTCCCTCCATTTCTCTCTTAATTTCTTTCTTTCTCTCTGTCTTCCCTCCTCTCTTTCTGTTTCTCCCTCCTCTCTTTCTCTATATTCCCTCCACTCTTCTCTTTTCTTCTCTCTTATTCTCTGTCTCTTCCTCACTCCCTCCTCTCTTCCTCTCACTCACACGCTCCTCTCTCTCCTTCTGTCACTCCCTCCCTTTCTCTCTCTCTTTATCTTCCCTCTCCTCTTTCTTCTATCTCCCCCTCCTCCTCTCTCCCTCTCTCATTCCTCGCTCTATCCTCCCTCCTCTCTTCCTTTCTCGTCTCTCTCTTGTTCTTTATCTCTTCCTCATTCCCTCCTCTCTCCCTCTCTCACTCAAACGCTCCTCACTCTCTTCTTCTCTCTCAATCCCTGCCTTACTTTCTTTCTCTCTCCTCTCTCGCTCTCTCTCTCCCCCCTCCTCTCTTTCTATCTCAATGTCCCCTCTCTTTCCTCACTCTATCCTCCTTCCTCTCTTCCTCTTTTCTCATCTCTCTCTTCTTCTCTATCCCTCCCTCACACCCTCCTCTCTCTCTCTCTCTCTCTCTTTCTGTGGAGGATAAATATAAAGTTGATTGTAAAGTGACGTGTTGCAGTCTGTCCCTCCTCTGTATCTGCACCTCATCACCATTTATCCTCTTTTACACAAATGCACTCCCTCGCTCCCTCCCTCTCCATCCCTCTTTCTCTCGCTGACTCCCCCCTCTCACTCTCTCTCTCTTTCCCTCTCTCTTTTATCTCTCTATCTCTCCGTTTCTCCTCTCATCAGCGCACGACGACACAAATTACGTCGGCAATAAATCAGACGCAAAAACCTCAGTGGGCGGGAGGAAAGAGAGAGAGAGAGAGAGAGAGAGAGAGAGAGAGAGAGAGAGAGGAGGATAAACAGGAGGGAGAGGAGAGAAAGAGGAGGAGAGAAAAAGGATGAAGAAGGAAGACACAGAGAGGAGAGAGAGAGTAAAAGAAAGAAAGTTGTGAGGAAAGGAGAGAAAGAGAGATAGAAAAATTGGCCACCAAAGCAGAGGAGGAGGAGAAGAGAGAGAGACGATTTACTGAGTTATCACAGAAAACAAATTATAAATAGGGATTATAAAGAGAGGAGTGTCTTGCTCAAGGACACAACAGTAGAATACAGAGGTCAAACAGGAAAAGAGACTAAACCAGGACTGAACAAGAACTACACCAAGACTGAAACCGGGACTGAATAAGGACTAAATTAGGACTAAATCAGGACTGAACCACGTCTGCACCAGGACTAAAGCAGGACTAAACCAGGACTAAACCAGGACTAAACCAGGACTAAAGCAGGACTAAACTAGGACTAAACCAGGTCTAAACCAGGTCTAAACCAGGACTAAACTAGGACTAAATCAGGACTGAACCACATCTGCACCAGGACTAAACCAGGACTAAACCGGGACTGAATGAGGTCTAAACCATGTCTGAACCAGGCCTAAACTAGGCCTAAACCAGGACTAAACCAGGTCTGCACCAAGACTAAACCAGGACTAAACCAGGACTAAACTAGGACTAAACCAGGACTAAACCAGGTCCGCACCAAGACTAAACCAGGACTAAACCAGGACTAAACTAGGACTAAACCAGGACTAAACCAGGACTAAACCAGGACTAAACTAGGACTAAACCAGGACTAAACCAAGACTAAACTAGGACTAAACCAGGACTAAAACTAGGACTAAATCAGGACTAAACCAGGATTAAACCAGGACTAAACCAAGACTAAACTAGGACTAAACCAGGACTAAACTAGGACTAAACCAGGACTAAACCAAGACTAAACCAGGACTAAACCAGGACTAAACCAGGACTAAACCAGGACTAAACTAGGACTAAACCAGGATTGAACCAGGTCTGAACCAGGTCTAAACCAGGTCTAAACCAGGACTAAACCAGGACTAAACAAGGACTAAACTAGGACTAAACCAGGACGGAACCAGGACTAAACCAGGACTAAACTAAGACTAAACCAGGACTATTTCAAACCTCAGTACCACTTCAGTACCAGTGTATTTTTGTTTTACGGTGTTGTGTAAATCTGCCCGGCGACAGCTCGCAGTCACATGATGTATGGACAGTTTGACCCCGTTTGACCCTGAGTTAACCCCGTGACCTCCGGCCGCTCTGTGTGTGATGGATTTAAAGTCTCTCATAAAAACAGATCTGTGTGGAACAGTGGATCAGAGCGACAGTCCGACTCCGCAGAGACCAGAGAACACGGCACAGGAGTGGACACATACACGTGTACTTTAACATGTAGTCACTTGTGTACTTCTTACACTACACCTGTAACTGTGTGTACTCCTCTAGTCAAACCATTTTCTTGATTGTACGTTAAGATTTTTAAATACATTAAATTAATACAAGGGGAAAAAAAGTGGTAATGGAGCTGTTTTTAAGATGCAATAAAAATAAAATATGTTGTAGATTTTTCAGTCCTTCTCCAGTCTGTGGTGTTTGGTGCGTCACATTTTGTCCCTGAGACAGAAGTGTGTTGTGTCCTGCACCTGTCACCTCTTCATCCAACCTCACACACAGATGGACTCTCACTGTATCTGTGAGTTCACAAACTCATAAGAATCCACCTTGAGACACTCTGAAAGGTTCAACTTCAGCCCAGAGCAGACAGGCCAGTCACAAAGCAGCGCTGTGGTGTGGGCGGAGCCAAAATAACCAAAACAAACATGGCGGCACAGGCACACATACTTGA